GAGGGCGCGGCATCACATTTTTAGGGCGGTTACAGCAAAGTACAGGCTCACCTCGTTTTGTTGCGCTTCTATTTATTACTTTTCACAGGCATAGCGCTATGGGCATGATAGCGTTTTCTTCATTGTTTTTTTGTTTGTTTGTTTTGAATCCTCACTCCAGGATAGTTTTTTATTGATTTTAGAAACAGAAACGGGGAGAGAGAGAGAAACATCAATGTGAGAGAGAAACATGGGTCGGTTGCCTTCCATAGATGTCCCTGCTGAGGGTGGTGGAACCTGCAACCTGGGCAGGTGCCCTGACCGGAATAGAGTCTGCACCTTTCGGTGTCCAGGATGATGCTCCCACCCACTGAGCCACACCGGCCAGGACAGTCAGTCGTTGCGTTTTTTAAACCAGAAGGCTAGACTGTCCTGGTTGGTGTGGCTGAGTGTTTAGGCAGTGGTTCTCAACCTGTGGGTCGCGACCCCTTTGGGGGTCAACAGACCCTTTCACAGGGGTCGCCTAAGACCATTGGAAAAACACATATAATTACATATCGTTTTTGTGATTAATCACTATGCTTTAATTATGTTCAATTTGTAACAATGAAAATACATCCTGCATATCATATTTACATTACAATTCATAACAGTAGCAAAATTACAGTTATGAAGTAGCAACGAAAATAATTTTATGGTTGGGGGTCACCACAACCTGAGGAACTGTATTAAAGGGTCGCAGCATTTGGAAGGTTGAGAACCACTGATTTACAGCATCCGCCCGGAGCACTGGAGGGTGGAGAGTTCAGTACGTGGGTGGCAGGCGGATCCCCGCCGCTCCAGGCGGGTTTGGGAGGCCACCAATCGTGGTGTCGCTCTCACGTGGATGTTTCTCTCTCCCTCTTTCTCTGTTTCTGTCTCTCCCCTACCCGCCTCCCTTCCACTCTCTCTCTAAAAAGCAATGGAAGAAATGTTCTGGGCTGAGGAGTAACACCAACAGCAGCTACTACAACAAACAGGTTGCTGCATAGTGTCCCCATCTTCCCGCAGCTGGACCGCCCCCGTCCTCCAGTCCTCCTCCCCCGGGCTGTGCTCCATGGACCGACCGCTCAGGAGCCACCATGGTCCGCGGGAGGCGCCTTCAGCCTCCACTCGACTCAAGAAGGAGCCTTCTCGACGGAGGAGAGAGACCCGGGGGCCTGAGGCGGCACCGAGCCCCGAGCCGGGAGTGTGACATTTCCGTTCAGCTCCTTTCAGAGACGCGCCTCCCCCCGCCCGGCCCCCGCGTCTCCCCCGCGAACGGCCGCCTTGACCTGACCTTCAGGCCCCTGTTCCTTTCCCTGCGGCTCGATGGGGTCACCGCCTAACCTGAAAGGCCAGGAATGAGGACTGAAACAGTTTCCTGCTAAATTGATGACGAAACTCTGATCTTAGTCTCTAAGTTGAACGGATTCTCTGCTGCGTGTCATTTCGGTTGACAGGAAGGCGAGACCGAGCCCGGGCCCTGACCCACCCTCGGTGGGGCCATCACAAGTGCTGGGCGCCGGGTGCGGCGAGACCCCGTCCTCCCTCCAGGGTCGGGGACTCTGAGAACCCGGAGACAGGGCGCCCGGGGACGTCAGGCAGGGGGCGTGATGTATGCAGATGAGCAGGCGCGCAGAGGCTGCTGGTCGCACTCCGCCTGCGCCCCCACGTCCCTGTATCCGAGATCCAAGCGCCCCGGGGGTTGCTGTGTTGCTGTGGCGACGGGCGCGGTTGTCGCTCGGGTCCCTGGGGCAGCGGGGGCGCAGCGGCGTGTCGAGTGGAGTGAGCGTGTGTGAAAAGTGGGTCGCACGTGGGGGTTGGGGGTGTCGGCGACGGGAGCAACTCATACTTACCTGGCAGGGGAGATACCATGATCACGAAGGTGGTTTTCCCAGGGCGAGGCTTATCCATTGCACTCTGGGATGTGCTGACCCCTGCGATTTCCCCAAATGTGGGAAACTCGACTGCATAATTTG